ATCCTTCGAATGAAGCGTACTGGAAGCAAGAAACTGCAGTTTCCTGGACCGTTTTGACAGCAATTATCAAACGTTCCCCGCATAAACGAAATGATAAGCGAGCCGGAACACGAGCAACGGTTTCACCGCTGCCGGCGACCGATAAAAAGGGGATTGTCGGGGACCGGCGTTCGCAGGGGGAGGGATCGATTTATCCGCGGTGAACGGGAAATGTAAACGAAAGACCACTTTCCGCTCGGTCTGGTGTTCGAGCAAACCGGTAAACGAGGAGAAGAAAACGCGACTGGTACGTGTTTGACAAGCGGCCGACCGGTTTTAGAGGGCGACGTTCGTCGTTGTCAGCATCGTTTGCGTCGTCCATAGGAAATCGCGGTGGCCCGACTACACCGGCCGATATATTGGATCGTAACAGAAATACGGTCAAAAGTGTTCAACAATATTTTTGTATCATTAGCTTCATGAAGCTAACAATGCTGGGTTTATCAACACGTTGAATGCAATTTCACGTAGCAAAACACGTAAAATGAAAGAGATATAATGACAAATTATTTCATTTTATTATTTTTGCATGTTGAGCTCGTCGAACGTTACCGTATTAGTGTTATTTATAATATAAGAATGTTTGCAAATAATAATTTATCAACACGTTGAATGCGATTTCACGTAGCAAAACACGTAAAATGAAAGAAATATGACAAATTATTTCATTGGACCGTTTTATTATTTTTTCATGTTGAGCTCGTCGAACGTTACCGTATTAGTGTTATTTATAAGAATGTTTGCAAATAATCATCATGAACCCTTTGCACTCGGAAGTCTTATTAGAAATACTCAACAGTTTCCAATATAGACATACTTTAAAACGAATTGAATCAGGGAATATACGTAAATTAAGAAACAAAGTTATTATTTGAATATTTTATGTATGTAGGATATTCCCGGACGAACCCTCAATATTGTAGGAATTATCCCGTAGGAGTCACAATATTTGTATAGATCTCGAAACGCTCGCCGATCACGCAAAGTCGCTCGGTTCCAGCCACTCTTCCTCGCATTCTTCCAGCAACTCAAGATTGTCCAAACGCAGTCACACTATTTGTCAAAACACACGCACACACAGCGAACCATTCATCCCACATATATTCATTTTATATAATCGATGACACCGTCGCCGAAATAAGCGCCGGTAGCTTATACTACTGTCGAGTAGGTACGTACTACTGTCGAGCGTACAAACGAAGCACACGAGAAACAAATTTTCACCACTCATCTCCGAACCAGAAATATTTGCTGTCATTTCTCGGTTATCCACAAGTCGTTGAACGCTTCGATCTCGTTCCGAAAGAGAGCAACGCGCAAAGAATCGCAAAGAACCTGCTAAGTCGGTTTGAAAGAATGTCGTCGGCATTTTATTAGAAAATGTTGGGTATCTCCAATGAAACACTTCTGGAGTGGGAAGGGTTAAAAATCGAAGTTGCCGTAAAGATACACGGTCCGGCGATCGTGTCCGCAACCGAGTGTATTTATGTTACTGCCTAATATTTGGATTCCACCCCGGTGAACTATGTATATCCGACGTCGAGACACCGCCGTTACGTGTATTTACGAACGCGTACACGAGTATTTTCGAATCGTGCCCGGCGATGCGTGCAAATTGAAAGAAAATACGCTGCGACCGCGGCGGAATGAGTTCCCGGTGCCGTGATTTTTCACGTTTTATGAAATATCATATCAATTTCGCGCCGTCGGTCTGATCACCGGGAATTTCAAGCTGCACCGACGAGCGGATGAAAAATTCGCTGAACGTTGACCACGGATCCCGGGTCCGGCGCACCGAATGCTATTTGCATTCCCGTATAATTAAAATGTATAACGCGTCGCGATTTAACGTTGGGCTCTGCTTAATGGACGCCCGGAGTAATTATCGAAAACAATCTTTCCCTCTGTTACGCTCGTGCCCGCCGCGTTATTTCCTCGTCGTGCGGCTCATGACATTTACAATGTTACCTTTTACCGGAGAATGCTGTGCGGTCGGCTTCCTTTTTATCGGAATTTGTTTGTTCGATCAAACGATTTCGCATGGGTCGGCGGATTCGAGAAAAGTGAATGATGCTTTCTACGAATGAATTCGATTAAACGGAATAATCTATGTTTATTCGTCAGTTCGTTTGAAGAAGGGTTTACGAACCGAGAATCCGTTAATTGGAAAGTAGAATGTGATCGGCGACGATTGTTATTTAGTAGGAAGAATGTGAATTATTCTAATGGAATAATATTTACATTCACGATGACGCAGAACATTTATGCTGGCATTTCCCAAGTTAAAATGTGAAATTTTAGCCACCAATGGATAAAACCCTCAAATTCAACTATTCGTACAACGAAAAGTCAAAGTTACCAATGTGTTAAGTAGTCTCTGCTATACAAAATGATTTTCAGTGCAAATCCCGTTTCTCTATTTATATAACGTCGAAATCGAAACGCAAAATATCCATTGTCACTGAGAAAACCGCATAACATCTCCATAATGTAACAAAAATATAAACACCATACGTTTACCTCCCAACCAAATCGAATTACTATAGCTCCCTCAATTGAACCATGATTATATGAAAACATTTCTCCATTATAAATAATACTACCTAATACAGTAACATTCAGCTAGACGTACGTGTGCTAATAACAATGCAATTCAATCAAATGATTTAATATTATATCTTCTCCATTTCGAGTATTTTGCACTGTGAAATCGTGCAGCATTGAACGTGTTAATGATAACGCGAGGCATTTATACCGGCGTTTCTCAGACTAAAACGTGAAATTTCATTCGAACCGACGCGAACAGCAATACTCTTTTTGTCAATGGGCTCTCCTCGTCCGACCAGGCAAGTCGTTCGCGTGTTCGATCAAGAATAGTTCCCATTTCCCGTGTATTGTCAGCGGAGGTACCCGGGACGTAACGTCCAACGCGTCCCACGAAGAACGCAATTATATTTCTTTTGTCTGATCAAATACCAGACCCTCTCCACTCTTCAAGGTGAGAACCATTGCCGACGTTGCACTCGCTCGGCAAATCCTCCTCCACTTGTCACGTTAAAAGTGATTGTGTTCTATCCACGTCGGCCGTGATCGATCCCGTTCTGCTTGCCTGCGTAAACACAGACCTATTCTACTTCTTTCACCGGATATCGATTCTACGCCACTCGTCCCCAACAGTTTCCCGTTCTACGAATCCAACGAAGTTTCGAGGACTTCCTGCCCTGAACTGATTTTCTGCGTCGTCTGCCCTGCGAACAGAAGTCGCCACTTCGCTAATTAGACGGAAAACAATTCCGACCGATTTGTCAGGCGGCAGTCGACTCTCGGTTTTACCAGCGACGATCTTAACCCGCTCGTTCAGCGGGAGTGGAGACCTCCTCGATCAATTAACGAATTCGTAGCTTGCTAAATATCGGCTATTGAAAAATATACCTTTGAACATCCGACGGAAACGAAATTCTTCGTGTATTGACCCCTTGCACTCGACAGCTTTTCGATAGAATAGTACTCCTTGGAACTAGCTTAGAAAGGAATCACACGTAAATTAGGGAACGAAACTGTTTTGTTTCAATATTTCCCGTATTGATGTATCATGCAATATTTCATATTATATATCAAACTTTATAATTTTCTTCAGTGAAAGCAAACGAAGACCAAGGTCGACTTTCAGATGCAGAGTTAAAAATTCAGAGTGGAATGAAGAATAGCTTTTCCTGTTTTCCTTTTGTTTCATACATCTAAAACCTAGTGGTGCGGTAGCTAAACGATAACAATTCCACGATACGAGATCAACGGTTCGCGCATTAACAGCAACTACAAAATCCGATCGTTTGGAGTAGCCTATACAAAGAAAGAGTGAAACTTGTGTGCACAGGTGAGAAGCGTTCGATACGATTCTTCGGAAAAATGAAATACAGTATATTTACAAAAACGGTGACCGGCGCCGCCGGGGAGCGTAGGAATATCACTCGGACTTTATTTGCTCTAGCAGTGGAGCGAATTCTTCACACGTCCGTCGGTAAATCGGTAGCAACAGGGTGACGAGGGCGCGGCGTCATTGTACGCGAGGGGCGATGGACAAGCGCGGCCGACCGGCGACGATAGCCTGCGATAGTGCATATTTAATAAAGAGTGCAGCGTAGGCTGGCTCGAGGAAAAGTGGCGCGGGATGTTAAACACACCTGCGCATCGAAAGTTCGTCATGAATAATTCCGTTTGGTTCGTTTAACGCGGTTGGGTAGAGCGCTCGCGCGCGCTACGTCGCCGCCGGAACTTCCGTCAGCTCCAGCCGAACGATAATTGACTTTGCGTCTCACTGGCTCTATTTATTTGCACGCCTTCCGGGCCCCCGGTTTCACATTGGCAGCGCCGCGGCGGGTTTCGACAGCGTAAAACGACCTGCTCCCGACAAAGACAGGGGAAACAAGGAATCGCGAGCGGCGGGCAGCGGGAGGGATGGCACCGGGAAGTTTAAATTGCGACCAGGGATCGAGCGGAGGCTTAATAGCTAATTGATCCAGAAATTAAATATTTCCCCCCACTCGCGCTCACGCCGACCCGCTGGACGAATCCGCGGTGTTTGTAATGTCGTTTGCCTAATTGCAAATTGTCCGGTTAAGTGCTCGTTCCGGCTGATGGAATATTTAACGCGGCTGATTATTGACTCCCAGTTCTTGCTTCCGCGATTTGCGACCGGGATTTAATCGTCCGGCGAAGGTACGGTGGATAATGTCGGTTAAAAGTTTCGCGAGTTTGTTAGCGGGAAATGAATGGAATTACATGTTGCTGTAGCTTCGTTTCGAGGGTGCTCGTCGCGAGGTTATTTCAACGACTAAGTGTCCGTTTCGCGAGACGTTTGGTTTCAACGTTTCGGCGGGGGGGACTGAATTTACCTGTTGTGAACGTATCATTTTGCTCGTAGAGCGTGCGAGAACTGTTTTGAGATCGTGTGATTATTGCAGGGTGGCCCATCTTTCCCGGTGAACCAGACACTGTCGAACATTTATGGCCGCAGGTCGGCCAGTCCCGATGTTCCGCACCATGTAGACGAAGCTCAGGTTCGTAAATCTATAAATATTGTCAGATTTGTCACACGCGGGAGTTCATTGTCGTTTCTTTTTAGTTTCTTGGGAATTGTACACGTGGCATGCCGATACTAACAATACTTTAAGAACTGAAAACTATTAACAACGTGACACGTGAAGTATCACTTCACATTGACTGGAAAGTCAATGAAAAGACAGTGATTCTACCGATCGTTCAATCTATATAATTACACAAATTTAATCGATCGATTACGATGCTCGATCGGTAGGAAAGGAACCTGTCAGATCCCTGCAGAGTTATTCTCCAGCAGCAGAATTTCTATTTTACCGACAGACTTGTCCCATGTAATTTCTATATGGAACAAGCTATTGGACGCTTGTCGGTAAGTTATCAGCCATTGGTTCCTACTTACCGATAAAAAATTCAATACTATTTTCATTTTGAAAAGCGAACGTAATGAAGTTAATAAAAAGATCTTTCATAAAGAAACCTATTCTTTAGGGTGATGAAACATTGCAATAGATTATTATTCATTTATTCTCGGTGACACAAGCGAAAAGGCACTCGTCGCAACGACAAAAGCAGAGATTAATCCGTTTTACATCAGGGGTGGACTATAATTTTCCGGGAGTCTGGTTCCTTTTACCGCGTTTTCGCTTTCCCATTTCCGTGACGAACAGACCGGAAGAAAGGAGAGGTGCTTTATCTTGGACCTATATACAACTCACGGCTGCTGTTATCTTTCTACGTCTTTCTTCGCCGAATCCTGGTACGGCTTGGAAACGGAATGGAATGTATTGTGCCGCGATCTCGAACCGTTCGGTTCGGAAAAATCGATATCCCCGTCTTCCTCTTCCTGTTCATATAACCCGAGCCTCAAAGAGGGGGGTTCAATTATTGCGAGACAACGGGGCACGACTTACAGTAATGCGTCACGGTTCCGTTTAACCAGCTTTCGTACATTCCAAAAGTTTCGAGCGGAAAACTCTCGAATAATGCGTCGATTATTTCCTACGTTAATGGCGATGCGCTCCGCAAATTCGACAATTTCATACATAACGTTCGGAGAGCCGCTTGTGGTCAGGCAATTTCGCAATTGCACTAGTAATCATCATATTGGCATAATCGATGCCGTTTCGCGGCTTTTGTATTTGCAAATTAAGTCCGGGGACTATAGTCACGTTGCTGATAATGCATTCCATTAGATTTCACCAGCTTACCGAACGCAAAATCGCCACGCTTAGATATTTAACTTTACATTCATTATGAAACCCTATCGACGTCATATAATCGATTAATTCCTACGTCAAGTAGAATTAATCATGATCCTTTCGCTGAAATCTTTCTGGTAACTATATCCAAATAATCATTTCTCTCTTGTATATTTGTCTATGCTTTTATAAATATTCCTTTTAGAAATCCTTAAAAAACACGTGTTATTCGTAGCTACCTATTGCCTTATAACATTCGACTGATTCCAAACTTTCCGCGACATTTAAGTGGTCCAGAATTGCGGACACTTTCGTACGAGCAAAATTCACGTTCGGTACGGTCGCCGTGACGTTTCCACTGTGTTCAGTATAAATAACTCCTGATACAACGTCGTTCAATTCTATGGCATTGAACCGCGCGCGGCTGCCATTCTCACAGCGCGAAGTTTAATTAAGCGGCCGCTTAATCAGACCGGTACATAAATTTTCAGAGAAATTCCCGCGCCAAGACAATCTCGCCGGGCATCGATCTCCGGCCCCGTGACGTCTCCATTGTCCGCGAATATTTATAACGTACCGAATTGTTGCCACCGAGTTATCAGTGGCGAGCCATATTGGACAAGTTTCCTTAGGAAAAGTGCGGCAAAATTCCGAGACTCCGGTGAAACTATGCAGAGCAGGTAATACGAGACCACTCGTCCGTGCGTTGGACAAACTCTTTGGGGCCGATGCTTCTGCTAAGCGTCTGACTCTTGTCGGTAGCATCCACTGGGAAACCAGTGATCTCATAAATCGAACTTCACGTATACTTCAATATTTCTCAGTGATCGATCTGAACATCGAAATTTAAGTTTAACCCTCTGCATTCCATAAGCTTCTCGCTGGAAATACTTTCTAATGACATACAGATGACATTTTCTGAAATTGACTTGAGAAATCGCACATATATTGAAAGGAAACTATCCTCTCCCAATATTTCACATGTTGCATTACACAAAGTTTCAAATTAACACGTTGACCGCCACGAGAACATCAGCGTTTTATGTACCACTTACACCTTCGTAACAAAGGTAAATAGGAATAATTATTAATTACCAGATACCACAATTCTTACGTTACAATATTATCTTACGTACGTCATTGAATATCTTTATTCGACGTTATCTTATAAATTATAATTGTTCTCAAGTTATTTCAAATCTCCGGTCACCGGTGACCACCGCGACAGCCAGCGCGTTAAAGATCAAACTTTACAATTTCGTCAAACGAATTAGCGTGTACACGGCAGAAATCTGCAATCTAAAATAAAAAATTTCGAGATCTCATTACGCCTACAGTGCTCCTCCACGAACGCTTCAAGGAGAATGTATTCGCTGCGAAATTTTTTTGGTTCCCCTCGTCACGTAACGGCTGGCCACAGTAACGAACACGTGCGGGGATACGTTTGTTTTCCATATTGACGTGGCCGTACGTGCGGCGTGTGCTGGCCAAACATCGTCACGCTGTTCGATGAGAAGAAGCGTGTCGGAATTAGACCACGACGCCTTGGTAGGAGCGCCGGAACGTAGCGACCACCAACATCGAGGCGTTCTTACGACAGTACCGACACCGACGTCCATCCCTTCGAGGTAGAGGCTCGCTCTCTCTCCTCGGAGCTTCTCTCCGTCGCTACGTGTACCTGTTTTCCCAGCGATTTGTCGTGCGCGGGCGCGCGCGCTCGCGTGTGCGTGACTGTCCCTTCTTCTTTTTTTCGGCCGGTCATTCTGTGCGCCGAAGACAAGAAAAGGAGATTTCCACGGAAAAGAGGACCGAGGACGGGACAATATTAAGCGCGAGTGTTATCGACAGTTGTTTAACGGTATCCCGGATCGTGACGACGGATGTTTGGATTATAGTGTCCCTCGCAGCGACCAGTTTCACCGGTTTCCCGGCAGATCGTTTCACCTCGGCGTGACTTTTTGCCCGAGCAAGGAAATTCGATAAACCGTTGAACACGTGGCGACAGGAGCGAAAAAGGGGAGGCCATTAATTGACACGAATAGCCGACCTTGCCAGACCCTTCTGTTTTTCTTGGAGAGTGGCGTAAAATCTGTTGTTTGGGAAGCCACGGATAAAGCGAACACGGGCGAACCGTTCTCCGAACTCGTTGTCCAATGAAAATAATCTCGCGAGGGTTAACGTTCCTTCCGTTTGAACAGTTGTCACATTTTTCAATGGAATTTGTTACTCGGGGACTTGTTTAGCACCTTGCCACGGGATTTTCTAGAGATACGATGAAACGTTTCATTTGTTGCGTACACCCTTTGCACTCGGAAGTTTTTCATTAGAAATATTTCAACATTTTCTGATGATACATGGATTGAGGAACAAAGCTATTTTATTTCAATATTTCTCGAATTAATGCATTATACCAAGTATAATATTAAGCCTTTGCACTCGACAGTTTTTCACTAGAAATCTGCAATATTTCACGGTGAGATGTAAACGACGTTCTTCGACACTAACGAACGAAAAAACGTACGTAAATTAAGAATCATAGCTATTTTATTTCAATATGTCGCATTTCGATACATTGTACGAAGCATAGTGTAGGAGGAAGAGAATTTGATTTGAAACAGTATAATTATTTCATGACAACTCACATACTATTTATACACTCAGATGCTCTTGTCTCACTCGTACACTTTCTAGAACATTCTTTCATTACCACGCATTAACTTCAGGTATATTTAGAATATTCTAGATTCATAAAAAACAAACATTATTAACATAAAAATCAATTTACTCTAGAATATTCCAGTGCTGTGAACATTCATTCAAAACGTGCTCACACACGCAGTCTCGTCATTCATCTATTGCACACACATTCATCACTCATGAATATATCCATTCACACACTCAGATACATCCATTCCCACAATAGTGTTATAAGATTATTATTTTGCTATATCAAATCCAGTGGTGACTGAGAGTCGCCCCCCGAGTGCAAAGGGTTAACCATGAAGGTGACATATTCGAAACAGCAAAACAGTGTTTCGATTCACGTGCAACGAGGAGCATCGATCTTTGTCGAATTAATCTGGAAACATTCACTGTGGCAGGGGAACGGGTTAAACGTTGGAAACTTGAACGATTAAATATAAAAGTGGCATCGAATAGTGGAGTTCCGAATTGCAGAGAGGTATGCTGCGAAAGTTTTCACTTTTATGGTCAACAGTTACCTCTGGCCTCGCGATTTCACCAGAAACAATCTTCCCGCCGGCAATTCCGGATCGAGAGGCTTTGAATTTCAAAACATGTCTCCTCGTTTCAGTGGCCGCTATCTAACTTACAGTCAAAAATGCCACTTTCCGGTCCGCAGTTTTCCAACAAACAATTTCATCCAGCGACCGAACGTCAATTCCTTTCGAGGGATCCCGGTCGGAGTCTCGCCGTGCCGCAGCGGAGCAGATAAAAGTTTCCGAACAAACGTATATTGCCAAACGAGATCTAATTTGAAGCCGCGGAGCTTCGCGTACACCGAGAACCGCGAAAAGAACGCGTAACACGGTCGAGCGACTCGCTTAGAAAGGCCTTTATTAACCAGACCCCGTTCTCCTTTCGCGTAAACAATTTCGCGTCGTTCCACATCCCGGAAATGTATAAATATTTTAGCGTAACTCTGAAGCTTCCCTACTTCCTTCGACGGCGACAATTTTCCTTATAATCCAAATCGGTGAGAAACGGCCCACTTCTCTTTGAAAAGACTGTGACATCGTAAATATCATTGATACCTGACACAAGGATATATATTTGTCACACAAAATACACATAAGAATAATAGTTAACACTAGAACTACCGTAAAAATGACTGGTTTCGGTTTTCTTGTTCCGCTATTACTGATATCTTCGAAGCATTGAATATTCGAAATGATTTTGAAAATAGTTTCACTTGAGTACTACGAATGTCTGAAGAAACCGAAAATAATCTGTTACAATTTTTATATGGATTGCATGACAATCGTAGTAAACGCTTGGTAGTTCTACTGTTAAATTCGTCACTGCAAAATTGAATATACTACTGAAACAATTGAAATTACAGTTGTTACAGAAATTAGTGTTAAAATTTCGATTCCTCGGTGTGCTTATTACGCGATCGGTTCTTTTGGTAATAACTCCTAGCATTGTCATGTTCAATAATTGCGAAGGAGGAATTCGGGAATGAGCGATTTTACCCGTTCGGTAATTCCAGCGTTAAACGGGAGCATCGGGAACCAAACATTGTCTTTTCGGCGGTCTTAAAAATAGCAGCGCGCGAGCACGGAAGGAAGAATTTCTGCCCGAAGGAGGAATATCCGCTCGGCGAGCGTCGTTCGGCGCCAGAATACGAAACATTTTTCTTCCATTAGCGTTGAGCCACCGGCCCCACTCACGAATTTCATTCTTCACCCCGGGACTTCTTTATCCGACGAGAAACATCTCGCGGAATCGTCTACGGATATTGCTGTCGTTCCTTTCCTCGACGAGCCCGACGAGCTTCCTTCTTACCGGCTACTGTTCTCTCGCTCCTCTTTTCGTTCCTCCTTCTTTTCCCTCTTTATGATCCACCCCTCGCGATACGGGGTTTCTCCTCGAGTTTCTTGACTTCGATCGGGATTCGCTGCGATTGGCTTACGCGCTGTTCGCTCTGTCGCCTGCCTCCCTTATTACTCGATGGGGTGCAAGTTCAGACCGGCGAGTACTCGGTCGAACAGCGAGTGTTCTAGAGGCTTAAAAAATTCGCTGCTCGCCGAAGCGACGTGTATTCCTCGCGCCATTTTAACAAGTAAACGGCTTCTATCGTCGATACGAATTCACGAAATTTTATCATTCTTCACCGAAGAGTGGACGGGAACTGTTGACATTTCCCTTTGGTGACTGTGAAAATGCACGTGGAGAGTAACTTGTTCGATTCGCTGAATTACGAACGTTCACTCGGCAATAGATTCTTTGGTAGTCCGGCGCAGTGGACGTGACTTTCGAAAAAACTAGACCTCTCGAGAACGAACGATCCTGTTTTCGGGCACCGGGAACGCCGACTGGAAGAAAATTGCACGTCCGGCTGCGACAGCTGCGGGGCCGATGATTTATTTCGTATCGGAGAAACAATCCCGTGAAGTTCGGCAGTCGCACGTGGACGTGTATCCCGCGCGGCTTTCCAGGATTTGTGAATAACCAGATGCGAGCCGCGATACGGAAGCCGGCGCGTGGCTGTATTAAGCTCGAACTTTGCTTAACTCGAATTATCGCGGAAAGTAATCTTCCGTGACGAGGCAACCGTGCCGACTTCTTTCGAAATTGGAACGTTTAAACTTCAACCGAACGGTTGTGATAATAATTCGAACGACGACAGTGAGTATACCGACGCAGTAGGTTTCTCCGGGAGAAGTTATCGGAAAGTTATCGGAAAGTGTTGCATTATCAAGGAACAACTGTGTTCGTCCGTTATTCAACGGGCGCGTTCACGGCGGAGTGCGCCGGCGTATTTGGAATGCGAGGAGTTGCGCGCAGTCAGGTGGTCCGGGGTTAAAGGTCACCGGTGCGAACTGAATCGAGGCGAACATCGAGCGCGGTTCGACACGAGGAAACAATGATCGACTGGGTGTCTATCGTGCGTCATTCACGGCGACGCTTCAGCGACTATATGTACGGGGCGCCCATCAAAGTGCGCAAACGAAGAACAAAGAGAACCTGTCGATCCGCGGACCGCGGTAATCGTAACGTAGTTCCGCACGATTCGAAACGATCGAGCGACGCTTGTGGATGCTGTTGGCACCGCGTGAGTTCATTTCTTTTCAACGAGTCTTCTCGCTCGGTTAACCCACGGGTCGGGCAAGTGAACCGTTTAGAAAGATGGAACCGAACGGAAAAACGGGGAAGAAATATGACGGAAAATGGAACGAGATAAAGATTTACTCGATTTTTCAGCTACGAATCGTCGGATGTTATTTACGATACCCGATGCGTCTATTATTCGATTAGAATGTATAGTTTCCATTTTCGATTTCATAATCTTGTTTCGTTTCTGCGTTTACAGCGATAAAGTTAAGCCGATGGGAGATATTTAGAGCGTCCGTTCTGCAAAAAAATATTGTAGCGATCCGCGGGCGCTTTAATACGGAGCGCGGCATTTCCGGGCGTAACGTTTGACGGATTTAAATCGCCTCGAAATTTCGCGCCGAGCTGTCGGCTAAATTCGTTTGGAAAGCAGGAAGCCGCCGTTTATTTGTACGAGCCGAACGTAGATCAGCGTGTAGTTCATTTACCAGTGGGATTGCGTTAAAGCGCTGAAAAATTGACTGAACGAAGAGCCGGCCGGGAGTATCGCCGATTTATTTCATTCGATCGCGCCGTTTATCCGAGCCGATAAATATTGCGAATTTGTCACTGAAAAGTGTAACGGATCGAAACGGCCGCCCTTATCCGGGATAATTTAAAGGAACTGCAGCTCGGATCATAAAGTTCCGGCTAACGCGATTACACTTCTGTCTTCATAAACCATTGTTTTTCTACATCGAACGACTCCATCGGCCCGGAAACATTGAATTTGTGGAATGATTATTTCCACCCGACCGAATATAATTCCTTGATAAACGAACTGCGGATTTGATACATTTATAATGCTCAGGATTACTTCGAGTTCAATATAATACCAGGCTTAACGATATTTTTGTATCATTCGATACCTCGGAGAACCCTCGACGAAGTAGATTCCTTCATTCTTCGCAACCAGTTGCCAACAGCGATAAGTTCTTCGCTGGAAATATTCAACGTTTTAAAATATAGACGACACTCTTCGAAACTAATGAAGCACGTAAATTAAGGAACAGAGTAATTTTATTTTAATTACATATATCGAAGCATTATACGAAGCTTAACCCTTTACGATCGGCATATTTTTCCAGTGAGAGTAGCAATTAGTCGAAGCAAATATATCTTCAAACTTATTTTTCTATAAGTGGTTTATAATAAATATATGGATATTAAAAATTGTTTAAAGTTAATGTGTATTGTTGAATATAAATTCTGTAAAGACATACACTACCTCTCGATCGTAAAATAACGCTCAGAAAAAAAGGGAACATGCCATATTGTCAATACCGATTTCGAAAACAAATGTTAAATGTCGCCACCGTGGCGGCGCCGATCGCAAAGTGTTAATATTGTGTAATTATAATTTTTCTGCATAAAATCAAGCGTCGAGTCGCTTCTCCAAAGGATTAAAATCCACGTGCGTAGCCATGAGTAAGGCGTACGCGTCGCGCGGGGGAAAAAGACTGCTTCGAAAGGATCGTGGTTCGGGAACAACGCAGGTACACGCGACAGTGTTTGTTCGAACGGCCGTTTGGAATGGAAGGGTTTCAATAAATGCTCGCCTAGATCATTGATAGAGCCAGACTGGGCTCCTCGATGGAGCCCGTCGTATCTGGAAGCCCCGCGCGGTCGCGATAATGAAATGAAATCCGGGATTCCGAGAGATTAGCCGGTGAAAGTCGGAGCCCCGGCGATATCGAAACCTGATGCAACCAGTGCGTCGGCTCAGGGCAGCCAGCCAGCTAGTTGAAACCGTGCTGAACACTGGTATACAATCCCCCTCTACTTCAATCGATTTCTTTCGGCTCCCCGACACGTGAAATGATCTTTTTGAACGTGCCTAAAATCGGCCCGACCGAAGCCTGCCCCTTGATAACGCACACCGATGTCGATAAACTGAAACGCGAGAGACTTCCCGTTAATCGTTCGATCGCATCGGTAAGGGTGCAGAAAGTTTCGGCTAACGTTATTGGTTCAGTCGAACGGGTTATCCTTTTTCCTTTGTTCTCGGAGGATTTTTCCTTTGAATTATTCGCGATGCGAGTGACAGTGACATGCGAAGGGGATGTTTAGCATGTGGTTGATGGTGCAGGTGTTTACATTGATGATCTGTGATTGCAGAAAACACGGTATACCGGCGGAGTGGAGGAACAATTGCCACCACCGCCATCGCCGCCCCAGTTGAAAGAGGCTGGACAGTTGGACGGAGTTCCTAGACCGAATTCGGTCGATCGTATTCTTCATCCTGACGGCAGTCAGCACTTAACTAGTCATGAAACGCTCAATAAGGTAAGTTTCATGATTGTTCTATTATCGCAATTGAATCTAAAATTGCAGTCCATTGCAACGAGCTGTTCTATACGCGAAACAGTCATTGTGTTGAATAGTTTCGTGATTATGCGGTGTTCACGTATGAAACGATGATTCTACGTACTTTGATTAAACAGTGTTTTTATTCGCTAACAACGAGCGTGAGTTTGAGAATCTATTAGACTGTTCTTTTTATTTCTTTGTGTACAATTAAAGAGATACTCTGTATTAACCCTTTGCACTCGACAATACTTTTCATCGCAGACATTCATTATTTTCTGACGGAATATTTAACAATATTATTTGCAACTTACACGAAGGAACATCTTGCAAATTACAGGGCAGAATTGTTTTATTTCTGTGATTCATGCGTTAATATCTTATTTAACGTTTCATATTGAATTTTCATTTTATAATTTTCTTGCGTTCAATCAAACGGCGACTGAGAGTCGTCTCTCGAGTGCAAAGGGTTAAATAAGATATGGGTGATTCGACATGGTGTGCAATGACTGCGAACAGCGGAGAGACGTGTTTTTTATAAGAGAGGAAAGTGTGGAAAAGCAGTCTAGACATATCGATCCGCTGTAACAATTTATTCAACTCAGCCGTCCTGCGTGTATACCAACGGTCAACCTTGTTCTGCAGTCTACATTGACCACCCGAGAGCCACTGGCTAAAACGAGCGCGCCATCTGCTCTGATATTCTCTAACCCGTAAAGAAATGAAAGGGATGTTTTTCCGGCGTGAAACAGAATTTTATATTAACTGTTAGTCGATGAAAAGGACTTCAAACGTTCTCTGAAATTACACCTGCCGCTAAAGCATTTCGAATCCCATTGATTCGAACATTGAACATTTTCGATGCCTCGCCAATTCTCTAACGAGACTAACGTAATACCAAAGAATAGTGAAAATGGTTTTCATCTCGTTCGTCTTTATTTTGAACGTAGAGTGAATATTTTTAAAATAGGTAGGACATCAGATATAGGAAAATGAAGATTATAATCAAATCCAGTATTTTCTAATGAAAAGAAAAGAAATTCTTCAAATTAATTTCCAGAAATTAATTATTAAAAGAAACTAACACGTTGGATACCGTGAGGGTCACCGATGACCCCAACCAAATCGAATTACTATAATTCATTCGATTAAACGATGATTATTTGAAAACTTTTCTATATTACAAGTAACATTACCTAACGCAGTGACATTCAACGAGATAAACCTGCAATAATAATAATGCAATTCAGTTATATAACTTAATATTCCATTATTTTCGTTTTGTATATTTTTCTCGGCAAAATCGTGCGGCACTCAACGCGTTAATATTGAAACTCAGCGTCAACCGCGCGTAGAGTGACGCATGCTCAGTTCTCTTCACTACACGCGCCATCTATCGTAGCTCCTCGCAAACCTAGCGAAAACCGAATGGTTACATCGGCAACATTCCATTCGTTGCCAGCTTTACCGACTGCGCAATCAATACACAGGGTGTTCGTGATAATTTGTACCATCGGCTTTTTCGCAAACGGTAACATTAGACGAAAACGTTAAATGTTAAATGTATTTCTTTCATCTCTAGCCTTGTATGACTCTGAAGACCATAATATACTACATAGTTAAATTCGTCTTAATGCCCGCTTTTATATGATGCAAAAAGATATGTAGCATTCTATTTAAAAAAATGAAGGTTACCTTTGTTTCCACAAAAGTATTAAAAATACAAGAAAATTTAGATACACTATCATATTGCTAGTAAAATATACTACAACTTTCTCCTCTTCAGATTCTTCCCAATGTTTACCATTCACGAGAAAACCGATGGTACAAATCATCACCCTCCATAATCAAAATATTCACATTTAACGCGAATGCCAGGGGTCTCCAGTGACCCCCAACCAAATCGAATTACTATAGTTCAATTAAACGATGATCATTTGAAAACATTTCTATATTCCAAATAATGCTATTTGATACAGTAACATTCAGCTAAACCAACGTGCAATAACGATAACGCAGTTCAATTAAATGATTCAATATTTCTTTTCCATTTCATGTATTTTGCTCTGTGAAATCATACGGCAACGTGTTAACCCTCTATAAGCTTTTGTGCCTTTGAAATCACATACCAATATATTGGCATTTCGTTGGTTTATTTCATTTCCCATAGCAAAGTGGCGAGTAAAATTCAGTATTTGATTAACATAAACTTTTATACGCTCTGGCGTGAAAGTTCAACGTCATTGTAATCTCAAAATAACAAGATATACTCTTTTCAATGAAACTATTAAAACTATTGAATATACCGTTGATTTGCATTTACAGGTTGGTATTTGTTAATTCTATACCGCACGCATTTTCTTACGGTCACGGGAAAAATTCTGCCTATAGAGGGTTAAATATCGAAACTGCCTTCCATACTTCCTAAATAACTTTTCCAATTTACTGTAAAACTTTCATCGCATCAAAGAATAAACCACTTTTCTATTCCGACGTTACCGACCGAACGGCATCCCCTAAGTCACTTCCTACCACCCCCTAACAGATGGCACCGTCGGCCACAAAAGTTTCAAGGAATCTCTGACAGATAGCGCAACGGTTAGCGTCGGTTGAGGAAATTTCTACGTTATCGCGTGGATATTGGCAGAAGCACGTGGACAATGCAGTGCGGCCGCGGCTTCGTAACTCGTCGGCCCGATGCCGGATGAGATCGGTTCGCCGGAAGTCGGAAGTGTGTCCCACGAGCGCGTCGCGGCTCGACGGAGCAGCGCGTCGGCGAACAATCAATCTCGAAGAAGAACGTCTTTTATTAATGAGACGCGAGAGGTGTCCTTGGGCTGGCGTGACAAATTGAAACACATTATTGATCTCTCCCCGAGGCGGCCGACTTGGCGTGAATAGTGCAAACGTAATGGTATTTTTTTGTTGTTGCGCGTGATCAACGACGCGTCGCGGACCATCCGAGGCGGACGCTTTTGATTTATCGTTGGCCGAGCCGCGGATGGAAGTCTGACTCGTCGATTCGTATTAATGGTGGCTTTCCGTTGCGCTTCATTTTTTCTCGCCGGACGAACCGACCCGCATTTCGCTCGGCGAGAGTTTGGATGATGAATTCGCGGAGTTACGGATTCGAAGGCGGTCGTTTTTCTTGCGGTCAGGTCGACGCGCCGATGTTATGATCGCCGGTGAGTCACCGACCGAAGTGAATCATTCACATCCACCGGGGTGAACCGTGAATGGTCTTTCGGTGCATATCGCAATGCTGCCATTCAGATTTCGCGCAGTTCCTCGGGGGGGATAATCGATGGTCGTTAAGCGAGAGTAACGGTGGTATTTGTGTTTACGACTTCCTCGAATAGCTGATAGTACCCTTGATACTGGGAGGGTGATATTTCGTCAACCTGCGAACGGAATGCTTCTTGATTGACACGTTCGCTAGCAGCGTCACGTATTTGTGACGGCTGTGATCCTATGTTTTACATAATGAAAATGATAGTAATCCTATAGATACTATTATTAGAAATTACAAACTGCGACATTATATTTAGGAACTCGATGACTCGTCTCAGCTTCATTTTTCTAATGTTTTGTTTAGGTTTATTGGTTGAAGAAAATATAATCGAGGAGACCGTCACCGAAGTAAGCGCCGGTGGCGAACGCGTTAACACTCGATTGACGGTTATTTACTGTACAGTTTGTTCTATCGTTTCTTGAGAAATTCGTTCGTTTAGAAATTAGAAGTTTGAAAGTAGACAATTAGGATACACATTAGCGTAACTACATCAATTAAAATCGACCCGAACGTTTACCAAACAAATTTTATAAAATTCAATGAGTCAATTTGTCTCGTTCCGTAAATCTAGCGTTAATCCGGTGGCTGGAAATCGTCCCGAGAGAAGCGGCGTCATTCGATCGCACGTGAATTTATTTAGCGATCATGTTTATCTACTAAAATCAAATATTATTCATACATGAATTGAATTCTCATATAACCAGAAGGTTTGATCATCGCGACATCCGTTTTTAAGCTTTGCTCTTTGTTCCTTGTAATCCAGTATCATTCGTTTTCTCCTCTACGCGTGGTAATTGTTTGTGATGCGCATTACTCTGTATCTTTAATAACATACCCATTAACGATAGCTTTTAGTATCGATTTATTAATGGAACATTCTGCACGGGTACCGCAGGAAGTATTTTTCATCCTTTCTCTCGAACGAATAATGACGACAGGTGCACTGCCGAGTCAGTTATCTCGCAGCATCGGATTCGACGGTTGCATTATTTATAACGCGAAACGCATTATCGGGTTTGTCCCATTCATCGTTCGTGTTTTACACATGGAATGCCGGCGACGATACGTTACCCGCTACATTACAATAATTCTTTCGCCGTGACGCGAAACGTATTTTTCGCAAAGGATATTCTCCGTCTGGCCGGCTTCACCTTTTCTTCCCCGATTCTTCCCGGTGATTTATCACATCGCTTTTTGCCCTCCAACGTGGAATCAACCTTCAGCCCCGTTCTGAGCCGCGTCCACCCATGCTCAGAAATTTTACGACCGACCTAGAACGCGGAAAACCCAAGGAAAAACAGTCGAGGGCGTAGACTGCGGCGACTGTTTTGTACCGATATCATATTCTATTTGAGCTTCTTCCTTCTCGGCTTTCCAAAAACGTTTAATGCATTTACCGGGACTGGCGTTTCTCTGCTCCCGACAGATCTGGGTAACAAGTGTTCACGTTCAAAAATCCGAGGCCTACAAACCGAGTAACCAACTGTTTAAACTGAAAACTGTACGGAGAAGTAACTTCCAACCCTTATCCAGGAAACCCATTTCAGAGAGCAACGTTAATAGACATATATTATCTTCCTACTTAATTAATTACTCAACTATAAAACTCCCAGATCTAAATCTTCTTGGTGTTCTTCTTGTGTTGCGCCAAAATTGGATCGCGATAGCGCTGTTTATCAGTATCAAT